GGGCTAGGGGTGGAAGCCAGGGTTTCAAGGAAAAGGGCAGAGGGAGTGGGGGAGGCCGCCATCACCACCCACCACCTGCAACTGGCTTCAAAAAGCAACAGCAAAAGTTCCAGTATGGGAATTACTGCAAATACTATGGCTATCGCAATCCTTCCTGTGAGGACGTGCGCCTTAGGGTGTTGAAGCCAGAGTGGTTTCAAGGCCGGGACGTCCTAGATCTGGGCTGCAATGTTGGCCATCTGACCTTAAGTATTGCCTGCAAGTGGGGCCCAGCCCGCATGGTTGGGCTGGACATTGATCCACAGCTTATCCACTCTGCCCGCCAAAATATCCGACACTACCTGTCCGAGGAGCTTCGTCTCCAAGCCCAGGCTTCTGAGGGTGACCCAGGGACAGAAGGGACTGCCACCATCCGAAAAAGGAGCTGCTTCCCAGCCTCACTGACAGCCAGCCGGGGTCCCATTGCTGCACCCCAAGTGCCCTTGGATGGAGCGGACACATCTGTCTTCCCCAACAATGTTGTCTTCGTCACGGTAAGAGAGTCCAAAGGCTCTTGGAATAGGGTCCAAGTGTGAAGATGAGATTAAATAGGAATGTGTTGGGGGGAAGGTCATGACCTAGAGGTATATTCCTGCATCTGTTCCTACAAGAACCATCTCCTGGAGAAAACAGTCTGGATTGGCCAAAAAATCTACTGGGGGTGTTGTCTCTCCTCCTATAACCTGGAAAATGGGATCTCTACCTTCAGGCTCTAACATCTGGTATTTTCTCCTGAATCCAAGGATCTCAGCCCCAATATGGGGACTGACATGCCCTGCTTACAGTGGGGACTATAATCCAGACAGTCTACCTTCCCTTGAGAGTAACCTCTACTGCTCTGTCCAGGTAGAACTTTGTCCTCACATCTGAGGGAGCATGAGATTGGGTGTCTTTGGGGGAGACTGGTGGCACTCCAATACATGTAGTTTGGGGCCTTTGGTAGGGGCCTCATTTGCATCAGCTGCTTTTTGTTTCCCTAGATACAGCACACGCTGCTTAAGTTACTGGTCAGGAACCAGCAGGCTTGTCTTTCGGTCTTTTCCATGCTGACTCTGAATAACAGGAGAGGAGAGTTCCCAGCCTGATAGAGCATGTGTCCCCGTCTCCACTAGCTTTCTCCATTGAGCGGTTGTTAGCCCATCCAGAGGAATATGTGCGCATGGCTTAGCCTGAAAAAAATGCCTTCCTGGGAAGTAGTGATGAGTTTACCTTCCAGAGCTTTCCTAAGTCTTTCACTTCATTGGAGAAAGGATAGGTCTGAAACATTAGAGCCCACTGAAGAGCCTCTGTGGAGCCGCCCTGTCTTTAGAACCACCGCCTGTGTATATGAGGTCCCCTGGGCGGTCCAGTATTCCCCAGTTACCCTCAGATGAGTAGTAGTTAGATTTAATCTGCCCAGGCTCCCTTTTAGGTGTGTTTGGTTTGGCACCAGAAAAGGGAGAAGAGAGAACATGAGACTGACAGAAGGCGCTGGCAGGACGAGCCTCAGAGAAGAGGGCCACCAGAGCCCACGTGAGGTTGTGTGTCGGACTTTGTCTCAGAGTCTGCAGGTGGTTGTGGGCCAGTGGTGCTTCGTCCCTCCTTCTGACCTCTTTGCCCTCCTCTGGCCCTTAGGGTAACTATGTCCTGGACCGAGATGAGCTGGTGGATGCCCAAAGACCTGAGTATGATGTGGTGCTCTGCCTCAGCCTCACCAAGTGGGTGCACCTGAACTGGGGAGACGAGGGGCTAAAGCGCATGTTCCGCCGGATCTACCGGCATCTGCGCCCTGGGGGCATTCTGGTCCTGGAGCCCCAACCATGGTCGTCCTACTGCAGGAGAAAGTCTCTCACGGTGAGCTGGGTTTCTGTGGAGGTGGGATAGTCATGTTTTTATTTTCCTGGTGGTTAAACCCAGACCTTGCACATGGCAGGGAAAGTGGTCTCTCTACCAATGAGCTACAGCCCCAGCCCATTTGTTTTGGGTGTTCGATTTGTTTTGTTTTTATAGACAGGGTTTTTCTATGTAGCCTTGACTGTCCTGGAATTTGCTCTGTAGACCAGGCTGGGATCAGACCTTTTTATATTTTGATCCTAGCTAAGCTGCTGGCCTGAGCTGGCTCTGTATTGCAGGCTGGTATTGAACTCTTCATCCTCCTGCTTCAGCCTCCTAAGTACCTGAGGTGGCTGGTGTGGACCACCCTACCCACCTCAGACTTGCTGCGCAAAGACAAAAGGATGTCATTCTTGGCCAGGGAAAGAGGTGGTGAGCTAAATTTGACCCTCCACTTCCCTGTTTCCCCAGGAAACAATCTATAAGAACTACTTTCGAATCCAGCTGAAGCCAGAACAGTTCAGTTCCTACCTGACCTCCCCAGAGGTGGGCTTCTCCAGCTATGAGCTTGTGGCCACACCAAGTAACACCTCCAGAGGTAAGAATGGCTCGCTTTTCGCTGGGGGGAGGTGCTAGCCCTGTGGAGACTGTCAAGGTCCTACCCACCTGCCTTGTGTGCTTTTTCCAGGCTTCCAGCGTCCTGTGTACTTGTTCCACAAGGCCCGGTCCCCCAGCCACTAAGTGGCCTTCTGAACAGAAGGTGTGAGGAGGCTGCCCTTGCTGCTCCTGAAGACCTGGGGGAAGAGGAAATTATCCCAAGGTCTTTCCTGTCTAACTCCAAAAAGTTTCTTTTCTTGGATTTGTAAAGAGAGCTTTTCTTAAGTTGCTTCCCCAAGTCTTCTCCCCAACACCTCTGGCACTTGAGTAAGCCCAGCTGTGCTGGAATTACATCAGCTTCCTCTCCCAGCCTGCTGGGCTGGATGGCATGGACTGTTTGCTGACTCTGTCCTCCTAGGGCATGGGAAGGGGGAATGTCAAATTATCTAGCCCTTCCTCCTGTTCTCCGAAGGAGATTCCTGCTTCTCAGCCTTTGTTCCTAGCTGCACTTAAGTGGACCATGGATGGACTAAGGGTGTTAGAGGGGAAGTTTGGTAAGGAGACACACAGGTACTGTGAAATCCTTCCTTCTGCTGTCCCCCGGTGGGAGAGGGAGCTGGGTTTGGAATGTGAGAACAGCACAATAAACTTGATAACTAGGGCAGTGGCCCCTGCACCTGTGTCTGGTGCTTTCTGGTGGGATGGTACCTCTTAGTAGGAATCTCGTGGGGTGAATTTTGCTGGTTGTGGTACAGGTAGGCTGATCTTGAGGTTTGAGGCCAGCCTGGGTGGGCTACATAATGGAGCGATATCCTGTAGGGGTGGAAGACTGTTAGTCCCTGTTGTAGTTGATACTACTGTGATGAACACTATGGCCAAGGAAACTTGGGGAAGAGTTTATTCAGTTTCTACATCCGCATCTCAATTCATCTTTAAGGGAAGGGCAGGGACCTGGAGGCAGCTGATGTAGAAGCCGTGGAAGGATGCTGCTTACAGACTTGTCCCTCAAAACTTGCTTAGCCTTTCTTATAGACCCCAGGACCACCAGCTCAGGGATTGGTCCACCCACAGTGGGCCAGGCCTTATTCCATCAATCACTATGTCCTACATACTTGCCTATAGCCTGGTCTTACAGAGCCATTTTCTCAGTTGAGGCTCCCTCCTGATAACACCAGCTTGTGTCAAGTTGACATAAAACTAGCCAGTACCCTTACTGCTGAAGAAGGGGGGGAGGGGTAGAGCAAATTTTGGTGTGTAGCTTATTGAGTCCAACTTAGTTTCCTTCTAAAGAAACTGCGGACAAGTGTATGTTTACGGGAGTGTGATGCAGAAGGCTGAGGGCTTGGCAGCAGGGGTAAAGCTTGAGATAGGTACCAGTCCAGAGGCACAAACCTGCTTCAGGACCGCTGGTGGAATGCCTTGTTTGGGTGGTTGCAAAGTGAAGGTCTCCATTGCTTTGTCAAGGGTTTCTGTAACCTTGGACATTGAACTCTCAGCACTGTTCTGTTGGACATGGGTAATACACAAATGAAGCCTGGACAGTCTCCTGTGGAGCAATTAGTTAATGATAACATCCTCATTTGGGTAAATACTTTTGTTTAGAAGTATTTGAAAAAACAGATGTTGTGATGCAGGCCTTTAATCCTCTGCCTGAGAAGCAGAGGCAGGCAAATCTGAGTTCAAGGCTAGCCTGGTCTAAACGAGTTCCAAGACAACCAGCGCTAAAGAGACAGATTAAAAATTGTTCTTATAGTCAGGCAATGGTGACTGACACCTTTAATCCCAGCACTCAGGAGGCAGAGGCAGGCGGATCTCTTGAGTTCAAGTCCAGCCTGGTCTACAAGAGCTAGTTCTGGGACAGGCTCCAAAGCTACACAGAGAAACCCTGTCTTGAAAAATCAAAATAGCCGGCTGTGGTGGCACACGCCTTTAATCCCAGCACACAGGAGGCAGGGGCAGGTGGATCTCTGAGTTTGAGGCTAGCCTGGTGTATTAGAGCTAGTTCCAGGTCAGGCTCCAAAGCTACAGAGAAATCCTGTCTAGAAAAAACCAGAAATAAAAAGAAATAAATGGTCTTATAAATGGAGCAGAGTGTGTAAGGGGGTGCATTTTTGTTGTGGTTTTTGAGACGGTATCCCCCTAACTTAAGGTGGGCCGGGAACTCCTGCTCTTGCTGTGTCTACCGCACAAGTGTTCACCATGCCCAGCCAAAGTGGAAACCAAAGCGCTTTGACTAGTGTTTGCACACGCTGCACACATACTCTGGGGATTGAAGCCAGGGCTTTGTACATACTTAACCAAATGATACCACGGAGCTGAACCTACCCAGCCTGAAACCACTTAGCTCAAACTCCTTGAACACAGGATTCTTCTGCATGGCATCCCAAACCCTAGGACTTGGCATCATAATATAAAGGTAAGTCTCAAATTCTAATTATAATCAGAAGACAGGTGACTTAAGTCTGACCCCACTTAGTACTTTCCACTTGCCATCACTGAGGGGGGCAGAAAATTCTCACCTACACGCAGCTTCCAACTAGGAGCAAAGTTGCTTTTTTTAAAAAAACGAAATAACTTTATTCTATGAGGAAACAACTTTAACAAAAGTACAGACTAGCACTACAGAGTTGAGGGCTAAGCTTCCCAGCGCCTCAGCATCCGGTGCATGAGAAAGGTATCTTCTGAAGGGCGGGGCCGGGCTTGAAGCCTTAGCGGGGGCAGTCCGTCCACTGTCAAGTGCGGAGCTTCATAATACAGAGTCTCTGGGTTGCACAGCATGGTCATGTCTGGCCCCGGCCCGAGCGCCTCCTGTTGGAAGGTAAGGCCCAACGCAAGGTTACACTCGGGGTGGAGGAAGAGCCCAGGGAGAGGAGCCCGGGTCCCTGGATCCCTTCCTTCACCTTGGGCGGCGGGACTCGGGGCTGCGGTGGCAGCATGGCCAGCTTCTCCCTCAGTGCCGCGTTCAGAACCTGCTCCTCCGGCACCTGCAGACTCACCAGGTCTCGGTAGAGCCGCTTAGAGCGCGGCACGTTCAACCCTGCGAGCGCACGAGAGGCGGGGGTGGGTGAGCAGCGCCCTTCACCCAGACCACCGCCGCCGGGGCCGGGCGCCTGCCCGCCTCACCCTCCGCCACCGTCTCCTCCACGACGCAGCGGGTCTGGAACGACTTTCGCAGCTGCTCCTCCACCGCCTTCGCGGCATCAAACTGGCCGCCGGCGACGGCGGCGCGCGCGCTCTGCAGCTCCAGACTCAGGGCCAGGCTGCTCTGCGGGGCCGCCACCTCCAGCGGCTGCGGCGCCGCGGGATCGTCGCTTGGGGCACCGGCCGCGAGCAGCGGCTCGGAGCGGACCGGGGAGGGCGGCGCCAGGTGGAATCGAACCTGAGAGCAGAGGGCGGAACGGTGAGCGGAGGAGTCCCGCACGCTTAGCCAGCGGGAGGCCGGGCCACGCCGCCGCTCACCTGCCGCCCCCTCCGGCCGCCGCCCCGCAGCCCCTTCCGCCGTCCCGGGCTGCCGCCCCGCCGCTCCGGACTTTCGGGCAACGGGCTCGGGCTCAGGCTCAAGTCCAAGCCCGGCTCGGGCTCTGGGGCTCGCGGCTCCGGGGCTCGCGGCTCCGGGGCTGGTCCCGGGGCCTCCACGGCCTCTTCGCCCTCTATAGATTCCAACTCGGACGCCCCGTAGCCCAGCATCTCGCCGTCGCTGCTGGGGTCCCGGTCGCCTCTTTCCTCCGACCCCTCGGGGGCTGCCACTACCGGAAACCGTTAGCCCTTACCCACCGGAGTAACACAACAAGCCCGCCGCGACACCCCATTGGTGCTCCTGGGTGTCATTCCCATCGCTTCACCCTCCAGCTTCCGGGCACACTTCCGCCCTCACACACCGTCTTCGCCCTTAAGGCGGGGCATTAGGGCACCAGTGAGTAGATACCCTACGGATCCCCAGCAAGTCTACTTGTCCTTTCGGGAACGCGGATGTGGCGTTCTCACCTGTCAGAATCGTCTTCGCGTTTGTTCTGGGATTACAGTGTTAGTCCTCTTTCACCGAAACAAAATGGTCACGGCTCTCGTATCTGGACGTCCTGTGCGGTGTCCCCACAGCGTTCCTGACGGCTTCGGTCACTTCTGAACACCGATCGGAGCGGGCTTCGTGCAAAGTCCCTGAACTCTTGTATTTGAGTAAGAAATGCTATAGGAATTTAGGAAATAGAACCTTAATTTTAAGTCCACATCCTGGTGGCCGGAAAGACGGCTCCAAGGTTAAAGGCGCTTGCCACCTAACCTGACAATCTGAGCTCAATTCCAGGCTCACACGGGGTGGAACGAGAGAACTAACTCGCTCGAGTTGTCCTCTGACCGCACTTCAACACACACTAGTAAAATCCACATCCTAATCCTCCCACGCACGACAAAAGACCTGAGAAGCAATGACAGCTTGGGAGTCGAAAGCAGAAACAGATCAGGAATTCAGGGCTAGCCTTGGCTACATAGGGACTTGGTGGACACCGTGGGCTATGAGAGACCCAGTAAACTAAAACCCAAAATTGTGACCTCTGATCCTATAGCCTTGGGCTATTGATAACTTGTACACACATGTTTACCTCCCCTTACTCACAGCCCCAGACTAGTAATATCCGTCAACAGATAAAGGGTTAAAACGTGGTACATAAATATCATAAAATAGTAGCGAGCAATAATAGGGAATGAATTATGGGTACAGGGCAGCTGCTGGAGCGGACAATCCTCTTGCCAATCTGCAAAGGGCACACAGCTTGTAGTTCAGAAACAACAAAAGTTTAGCTGTGGTAATACTAATACGAAACAGTCTGTAGGAGGCAGCACAGGCGAATCAGCACAAGATAGTCCTCAGCACTTAGAGAGTCTGAGGCCAGCCTGAGCTTTAAAAAAAAAAAAGATAAATAAAAAGAGCTAAGGGGAGAGGGAATATAGGAGAGTAGAAACCTTTCTTATTAATTCTTCGCTTGTTCATTTGCTTGAGACAGGGTCTCAGTACGCATCTCTGACTGTCCTGGAACTCACTCTGTAGAACATGATTACCTCAGACTCACAGAGATTCCCCCTGCCTTGGCTTCCTAGGTGTTGGAATTAAAGGCGTGCACCGCCATGGCTGGAGACAATATGATTTTTTTAATCTTCACATTTTATTCTCTTATGAGACAGAGAAAGGCACCACCAGCTACAACATTGCCTGGTTCTGTGGTTCTTTAACAATAAAACAACAGAGCGTTCATCTCCGTGGAGGATCTAGATGGTCATAAGTTAAACACCTGCTGAAGGCTGCATCCCTTGAGCAGGGGCAGGGAGCAAGCGTAGAACTCAGAAAATTCCTGTTAAAGGGTTGCTCAAGGATCTGCCAAAAAGGCCATCAGTAGCGGGCCCCACTGCAGCTCCCTAGAAAAAGCAGGCATGCCGTAATCCAGAGGTGATACCCAGGAGACAGGAACGCCACAGGTGCCAGAGGTGGAGCGCACTGGGAGGTGGCTCGTGGATAAAGTGCTTACTGCACAGACATTAGAGTCTGAGTTCGGAGCCAGGCGGTGCTGGCGCACTCCTTTAATCCCAGCACTCGGGAGGCAGAGGCAGGCGGATCTCTGTGAGTTCGAGGATAACTTCTTCTACAGATTGAATTTCAGGATAGCCAAGGTTACACAGAGAAACCCTATCTAGAACCCTCTCCCCCCCCCAAAAAAAATAACCTGAGTTTGGATCCCCAGCATCTATGGAAAAGCCAGGTGCAATGTCTGTAACCCCAGTGATAAAGGGTGAAGACAGGTAAGTCTCAGGGGCTCACCAGACAGACAGCCTACCCAAAACATTGAGTTCCGGGTTCACGTTGAGTCCCTGTCTTAACAAATAAAATGGGCAGTGACGTGATAAAGACATCTGGTGTTCATTTCTACACACACGCACACATGCATGTGGTACCTGCACCTGAACATATATTTCAATTGTATTTTAATAAATAAAGCTTGCCTGAAGATCTGAGACTTAAACATTCTTACTGGTCAGCCTTACAGACCAGATTATGGTAACACTCACATTTAATCTCAGTAGCCATAATGATGTGCACCTTTAATCCCAGTGGTGCATGCCTTTAATCCTAGCCCTAGAGAGGAATATAAGATGGGGAGAGACAGCTCTCAGAAACACAGTCTCATTCTGAAGTTCCTACAGGCAGGATCACTATTTCAGACTGAGGTCAAGGTAAGAGCCAGTGGCTGACTGTTTTGCTTTTTGGATATTCAGGTTGAACCACAATTTCTGATCCTGAGTTTTTATTAATTATGCTTCACACAGGTGCACACGCATTCATGTAGCACCTGTACCAGAACACACAGGTGCACACACATGCATGTGGTACCTGCACCTGAAAACACAGGTGCACACACATGCATGTGGTACCTACACCTGAAAACACAGGTGCACACGCATGCATGTGGTACCTGCATCTGAACACACAGGTGCACACACATGAGTATACCACACATACTAACTAATGCTGATGGCTGTGGCAGCAGGCTGATCGGTGCACATAGCATACAGTTGAATAATTCTGTGACCTAAAGGTTCCCCCTAAATGCACAACACAGTTCGCATCTTAAAGGTAATGAGGTGCTTTATTCTGAAGCCAGAAAAGGAGTGACCGTGGTCCAGAGTCAGATCCAGGTTCCCTCCGAACACCACATTCCAATGTGGCAACAGTGACATCAAGGCTTTACATCAACAAAGAACAAAGAAAGTCATAAGTCCAGGTATTTCTCAAGTACCTGGGTGGGAACATCAGGTAATGGAGTCGCACCCAAGAGAGGCCACCTCTGCCACAGAGCTCAGATGTAATCCAGTGACATTCTCAACCTTCGCGTCAATGCAAACTGCTTGAACTTTTCTAAAAAGATTTTATCTGAGAGTCTCCAGGATGTTAGGGCAAACGCAAGAGGTGGGCAATAAATGACTTATTAGGAGGGCTCAAGATAGTTCGTGTGTGTGTGTGTGTGTGTGTGTTATAGATATTTAATTAGTTTTACTTTCCACATTTTTTTTTTTTTTGGTTTTTCAAGACATGGGTCTCAGGGTGGCTCTGGCTGTCCTGGAACTCGCTCTGTAGACCAGGCTGGCCTTGAACTCAGAGATCCACCTGCCTCTGCCTCCAAAGTGTTGGGATTTAAGATTGCTCAGCGAGCAAAGGTGCCTGCTGCCAAGACTGACAACCTGGATTTGATCCCTGGGAACCACATAGTGGAAGGAGAAAACCAACTCCAGCAAGTTGTCTTCTGACCTACACACACACACATACACACACATGTCATAGCATGAGTTAGCCCAAACTCACATCTAAAAATAGATAAGTTAAATTAAAATTTAAGGAGGGGTCCTGTGATGTCGCCCAGTGCAGAGCATTTTCCCAGTACAACAACAATAACAAAAAGGTGTCCACCAGGGTGGCTTTCGGCTGCATCGTTTCCCTGTCTTCCTTCCCTCACATCCTGGCTCTCAACCTCTCTCTCCTCCCTTGCATGTCCTTTGCAACATCCTGCCCAGTTCCCATTTCACTGTTCCAGCATCAGATGAAAGACATGTCAAGAATTCTGACAGACAAAAACCCACCATGTGTTTGGAGGAAGGGATGTCTGTCTCCAAAGACAAGGTTCTCAGTCTGTCAAGACTCTGGACCATACCACCTAATCTTGCACACACTCCTTCCTAGCCAACCCAGGCCCCAGTCAGAGTCCCAGCTTTGTGCAATGGGGGAAAGAAGACAGGTCAGGAAACCTGGCCCCCCATAAGGTCCTAAACCCATAAGGCCTGCCTCTTACTGATTAGCCACAGCTACTGTCTGTAGAAGTGTGGGAATGAGGTAGGCCATTCAGAGAGGAGCCCAGGGAGTGGGGGGAGGCAGGGTGTAAGCATTCATGCATGTAATCCCAGTTGGGGAGGCTGAGGTGGGAAGATCACAATTCCAAGGCTAGCCTGGGCTATAAGAGAGACTCCATTGGAGGGTGGGAGTGGGGCCTGGGATGCTGCTCAATTGGTAGAGTGCTTAACTAGAATGTGTTTGAGTCCCTGGGTTCCATTGCCAACACCTCACAAAATCAGGTGTGGTCGTGCATACCCGGTCTCTTAGTACCCCAGAAGTGGAGGCAGAAGAGTTGACAGTACCCCCTGCTAAATAGGAAGTCGGAGGCCATCCTAGATACATGAAACCCTGTCAGAAGGAAGGAGGGAGGGAGGAAGGGAGGGAGGGAGGGAAGAAGGAAGGAAGGAAGGAAGGAAGGAAGGAAGGAAGGAAGGAAGACTGAACAAGGACTGAGGAAACGGCTCACTGGGTAAAGTCTATGTCTTGCAATCACAGGAACCTGGGTTCGAGTCTCAGAACCTAAGGAGAGGGAAGTCAGACCTGTAGCACGCTTGTAATCCCAGCACCAGGGAGGCAGACACAATAGGATCACGTGGGGCTTGCTGGCCAATAGCCTAGCCTGTTTGGCAAGCTCCAGGCCAGTGAGAGACTCTGTCTCAAAAAAAAAAAAAGTGAATGACATCTGTGTGACAAAAGTCACAGCAGTCCTCTGGCCTCACTCAACATACACTCCAGCACACACACACACACACAGAGAGACCACAGGCCTGAAACAAACAGGAGGTCCTGGGAGCTGCGAGGACTGAAGCAGCCATTGCTTGAATCTGCGTTTTCTTTGAGTTGCTTGACACGGGAGGAGAGTTAGAAGTACACAGCAATGCCAGTGTTGCGTGC